GTGTGTGTGTGTGTGTGTGTATTGCTATAAGCATCCCGAACACATCCCGCCCCTCTACCACCAATGCCCCCATCCTAACCCCCATTGGCAAGGCAAAACAGCACAGAGCAAAGTAATTTTCATAACGACAACGACGCCAACTTCTTGACTAAAGGTGCTCGGCCCACAGCTGATGAGCTATAACCCAGCTACCCCCATCTCCAACGCACCTCACACCCCTCACCACGGCCCACTAGTAGTACCTTAACTTGCATCGTAAGTTCCACTGGGGATGGGCGCTGTTCCGCGTAAAATGTGCTACGTTAAGCACATCTGTTTTTTATTGCTTTTAATTTGCCATTAATAACGCATTCCAAGGCGAACGGACGACGACCGCCCAAAATGCTAATTTATAAGCATATAGATAGATATAGTAATACTCGTAATAATAATAATAATAATAATAAGTATATGTATATACATACATATATTTTGGAAATCCAATTTTAATATGCCCAGCCAAGGACATTAACTGCGCCAATTGCCCCAAAGTTCGCCAGCTGCTCGAGTCGGCTGCAAGAAGGGGCTAAGCGTTGCAATTAGAGACAAGCCATGGCCCATAAGTCAATGAGTTTTTGGCATTTTTATGGCCAAACATTGCTTGCTGTTTACGCGGGGAGTTGGTGGAGTGCGACCTCTGCCCGGAAAATCTGCGAGGCTTGCTTAACGCAAATCCATATAAAGGAACACCTTTGAGGAGACCTAAAAACACCATAGTAACGGTTCTGTATATATATATGTATATTTTTCTAGAAGTCCATTAAGATTAACATTAACACATAATATTTGTATATATTTAAATTGAAATCGATACACTGAACATTCCAATTTAAGATGTTTCAATATTAATTCTCATAATTATTTTCTTTGTTCTCTAAAAGAGCTCACAAATCTAAAATCTAAACCTTTAAAATAATAATAAAAATGATGAATAAAATCGATTTGCTGAACATTCCACAGATAGTAATGGAATCGAACTTTAAAATCTTTCGATATTGAATATTTCCAACTCTTTTAATGCTTTATTCGATTTTACTGGTATTTTGCTTAACTTAAACTTGAATTGTGCTGCTAAATGTAAAAGCAACGAGTTCATTAGCAATAAACGAACACAACTCATGAATGGAATCCGAGAACTTTGTGCATTTTCAGGTATTAGGAATGAGCATAATAAACATTATTAGCATTATTGTCAGAGCTCACAGTATGAAACAGTGGACAGTGGACAGAGAAGCAGGCTGGAGGCAGGCGTCATTTCTGCTAAATTATGTAACACAGAGTCAAAGGAAAAGGTTGGGGAAGTGGGAGTGGGAGTGGGAGGGGTATGTGTGGGTAGTGTGGTGCCATTGGCAATGGTTTTTGTCAACCAACCAACCAACCAACCAACCAACCCGTTCGTTGTCGTCAAATGCAAAAATCGCAAGGCGAGCTTCCTTTTCCTTTCACTGCGCTGCTGCAAAATTTCCAAAAATTCTATTATTATTAATAGAGGCAAACAAGGAAACGAAGAAAGGGTGCATCGGGCCGGGCAGTGGAAGGGCAGTGTGGTGTCGGTGGAGCGCCAAATGAATGCCAGGGTAAGTGCATAGAATGGCAAAAGGCGACCATGACGACTGCCACAGCTGCAAAATGGAGAGGCAGGGAAGGCAGGGAAGACAGGGAAGAGCATCGTGCTGATGCTGTCGTGTCGTGGTATGCGTTTGTCTTTTCGCCCAAAAGACGACTACAATAACCCGAAAAATGCACACAGTTTGCATTATAATGCGAAATTTTCGATTGCTCATTTGTCGCATTTACTTTTTACTATAAAAGTTTTATAGCGAGGCGGCTGAAGATGGCGCGACCAACGACAACGGCAACGACAACCACGACAACTACAAAATTTTACACAATGTCATCAACGTGGCTGACAAAGTTAAAGACTGGGCTGGTGCTGCTACCGGACGGCCCAGTCTGTCGGTCCGGTTCTGGAGGGCGTTATTCTGCCCGTCTGCCGCCCTCTCAGCCTCTCAGCATCTCTGCATGTCCGTCTGTCTGTCTGTCTATCTGTTTGTATCCATGCTGCCATGCCTCACAATTGTATGCAATTCTTGCCGCACTAAACTTAAAGGATTACTTTTGGCTAATTTCGGCTTGGTTTGTGCACAGAATGGCATCCTGGCAAGACGGCACAACAATTGCCTTTTGCCAGCGCTCGCCAAGAACTTAAGGAAACGTCCAAGCGTTCATTTAGGCATTTCGATTGCAGACCCCCTTTGATGTTGCATAAAAAGTTGTTGAATTCAGCGAACATCAAGCTGCCATAAAAGACAGCAGTATTACATAAGGTGCGCAATACTCTACACATCGCACAATGGCACATCATTTCAACGGAATGTCAGCATTCACACATCTATATGTATATGATATCTTTCCGATCAGCCCACAATTTCCACCAAGTTCTTGAAAGTTTCGTCAAGGATTAATATTGAGAGATTAGTTCAGATAAGAACAGGCAGGCTCTGCTATTCATCCTTTCATCCATTGTCTTCTTTATCACGACAAAATTATTGAATAATAAAGTATTCACATTCCAAATAATTTTAGGATGTTTTTCTACTTTTGTGGTTCCAGTCCTTTATCGATACCTACGTATATAAAATCCTTTGAATATGTGTATCTAAAGAAATGTCTATATACACATCAATTGCTGCATGCAGCCTAGTTAGATCTATTGTGCCTCCTTCTGAATTTATAGCTCTTTCATTAAACCTGTTTCTTGCACAAATTCAAGAATTTTTGTCGCATGTTTCCCTAGAATATTGAATTTTCTTCAATTCTGCCTAAGGCAATACATTTTGCTATAATGTGCTCCGAGGATTCATTCTCGTTTGCCACAAAATCGGCAGATTGCATTACTTAATCAGTAAACCAGTTTAGCCATCTTAGATCCAAATTGGTCTAGCTTGGTCTACCTAATCCCAAGCAACATATTCTAGTCGAGTTCCTACATATCTAGCTACCTATATATATGTATAAGTATATAGGTATATATCTGTATATATAGATGGCTTTTACTTTCCGTTCATCTGCACAAATCACCCCCTCCACTAGCTACAGCTCTCCAGGTGGATTAAGTACAACAAACGCCACAGTCAGTCACATCGTTGTCCTTCTCCTTCCCAACCATTTGCCTATATTAAAACCATTTTTCGCTTATTACCGAAAAATTTAAATATTTTGAAAATAATAAACTGCGGGTGAGTTACTAAGTAGCTGGCTGCCTGGTGGGCTGGATGGATCAGAGCGCCCCCATACCATAAGCATTGGCATTGGCATTGGCATCGACAACAGTCGCAGCCGCAGCCGCAGCAACGCCCACAAAAGAGCAAACAATGTTACTGGTTTCGTACTGGGCTTGGGTTTGGGTTTGGGTTTCGGTCTGGGTTTGAGTGTCGGGCGGCATCATCAGCAGCAGCATGAAACGATGCTAGGCATGCGCTGGCCCACCTTTTAACCCAACCATACAGCCATACACCCATACAACCAAACAGCCATAGCGCCATTACTAATCCTCCAACCCAAAAACCAAACCAAACCAAACCGACCGCCGTCGTCGTCGTCGTCGTCGTCGCCGGCGCTCGCTGTGCGCTATCAGCGCGCCTCGTGTTGATTGTCGCGCGTTGCCATCAATGTGCCACCCAGATGCCATCCAGCTTCTCCAACTCCTACTCCTACTCGTACACCTCCTCGTCCTCCTCCTCCTGCATTGCCACTCGCCATATCCATTTAGCCGGTGTTGCGGGTCGCTTTCGAGCTCTGCTCATGATGAGCATCATGCGTTCGCAACGTTTCTGGCCAACTGCATAATGATGTTGATGTTCATGATGCTGATGATGACAAAGATTAAGATAAGTATGATGATCATCAACGCGTTGTGGATGGTCGACGTCACATAGTGTCATATTTTTATGATTTTTATGTTAATTCATAACCAGCCCCATCGCGGTTATATATTCGGTTCGCAGCTCGCAGTTCTTAGCGCCGTTTGCCAAATGCTTTTTAATCCTTTTAATGAAAATTAGTTCCTCTCAATATCTTTTAATATATTTTCTTTCGCTTGGGTTTCATTACCTACACCCACACACCGCCCCCCCTCATGTCTGAACTATGTATATTCTCCTGTCCTGTTCCGTTCCGTTCTGTTCTGTTCTGTTCTGTGCTCTTCTCTTCTGTTCTGTTCCTTTGTTTTCACAGGCATAATCATAATTTTGTGTTTGCAACCCTAAATCAACACTTAACCCATGCTGCGCGTCTCGATAAAGGGTTACCGACTGGCCCGTTTAATGGGTAACGAGTAACTGGGTACCGCTTAACGGGTGTTCAGTGTGAGGAGTGGGGGTGGAGGCATGTGGGTTGGGGTGCTGGCTTCGCTTTGGCATACATCCATATATCACAAGTCTTTGCTCCTCTGCTCTCCTCTGGCAGCTGGGACTGCGACTGCGACGGCGACTGCCCTTGTCTTTGACCTTTTGCGTTTGATTGTCTATGCGTCGTTAAATAGCTACGTCGACGTCGACGTAGTCGTCGCTGCTACTCCTGCTGCTGCTACTCCTGCTGCTGTCGTTCACGTGGCTTTTTTGGCAAATTGAAAACCCAAAAGCAGTAAAAATTAATGTCCGTAGCGAAGGTGTTGCCATGATTCTTGGCAAGTGCCAGCACAGTGCGGCCACTGCAGCAACAAAGTAACATTGAGAAAGACACAAACACATTTATAAAATATACGAGAATTTCTATTAAACAAATACTTGTGGCATATCTGACAACAACAAAAAATGCTGTCACTTTGTTGCAATCGATTAATTGTTGCTTTTAAGCCAGTGCCAGCTTCTCCAAGAAACGCTTCGCCACTATTTCAATGGCAACTCTAAAATAGTTTTGTGGAAAGCATTGATCAATTTGCTTATATGAAAAATACATTATTTGGTTTCTTTGGGCTATTTTAATTGTAGGGTACAGGTTTGAGTGCGGTTTCCGACCGGCTTCAGTTAGCAATTATATTTAATGGGTTACGCCAAAATGACAGAAATTCTTAATTGTCCTTATTTTTTCTTGAGTAATTACGTTTGACACTTTTGACCGACTGTTCGCGATTGATTTTGGCGTCAGCTTGATTTTGGGCCTCTTCCTGATCTCGTTTTTGATTGGCAATGAACGTCTGACGATGGATATTGGCCGAGTTGCGCACGGCCCTAACCCAATCACCGTTCATGGCATCCCGGGCGCGCTCGTCCGGACTGCGCATGAACTGTTTGCGCAGCGACTGCGGCTCAGTCTGTCGAAAGTCGGGCTTGAAGCACCAGGGATCCCGGGAACGCAACCATTTTGTATCCAATCGCTGTGGATCCTTCCACATGTTATCCTCGCGCAGAATCTGGCGCTGCGCACTCGAATTAGGTCGGCTGCTTTGAAAGGAGTCGCCCTTGCTGACAAAGCTGACTTCTTTCGGTTGGTTCTTCTTGGAACTATAATCGGCCATCTGGCGCCTGACGAACGTCGAGTTTGTCAGAAGCCGGGTCAAGGATGGCCGGTTCCACACACAGCCGACGAGCCTGGTCGATGAACGTTGCATAATTCAAGTCCTGCTATTGAAAAGGTATTGTTTTAGTTAATCACAATGCATTTATTATTATTTACCTGAAGGCCTTACAATTTTTTCTATTTTATTTTTTTTCGGAACCGGAATTTTTTGAGGTTTTGAAATTTTATCAGGAAATATTTTTTATTTTTTTTTGGCTTTACATGTGTTCTACACAATGGATACGAATCGAATGAGCTCAAGCCCTACTGCCCCATTGGCAACATCGTCTCGAAAAGCAACGCCTGCTAAGCAAAAATACGTTTACAAACACAAAATGGAAAACTCTAGAAGAACATTCAGTTTCTTAGACAAAAAACCAACTTTCGACCTGTTCACAAAAATATAGTCTGTTTAATGAAAATCTCCCTTTCAATATCTTCAGTTCATATTCATTTTCTGGGACAATTCAGTCAACTTGCGACCAATAGTTTCCATACAGGCTATATAATGATGCAGACCTGCGTATATCAACTAACTTATTGAGTCTGGTCATAAATATATAATCCAATGATCGATCCTGAAAAGGCTATAAATTTAGTATGTGTAAAATGTTGCATGGCACAACTAACTCTTCACACACACACACACACACATAGTTATAGTATAGGTTTGTATTTTGTGTGGAATGGGTTGCTGTATCCTGGCCACAAAGCAATTGCACATCCGCTGCAAGCAGAGCTATTAACTGCCCGAGTGAGCGGCAGCACTTGGCAGCACAGAAACCAGTGCGACTTAAACGCAGCCACTTGAACTCTTTTTGATTTTACATATATGCTGAGTATATGTGTGTATTTGTGTACCACACAATTGCACAATTATGTTAAATATCGACAAGTGGCCTGGAGGCCAGGAGACGCTTTTGTTGTACCGCTGCGAATATTAATGGCGACAGGTATTAAATACTCGAAGTTGCTGTTGCACAACCAGCAACCAGACTCAACGCAGCAGCAGCAGCAGCAGTTGCAGTTGCAGTTGCAGCAGTCGCAAACAATCGAAATGATTCCCCAAGCCACAGCAATGCAGGTTGAGTGGTTTATAATTTTGTGGCGCTTTGTTGCAGCTTCTGGCTAACTGGGTGAAGTGTTTGCCTCCTCTTCACACAGGACCTCGCTCTTATATACTCTCTTCGTGGGCTAAGCCCTGATATTGTACTTGTATTTAAGGCTTAAAGGAGAGCCATGACTTAAGATATAAATCATTATAAATGCTGTTTTGTCAGGTTAAAATAGATATGAAAGTTTCGACTTCAATGTTCTTATAAATATCGAAACTTATCATCAGCAAGAGCATCAAGTGCTAAAAGGAAATACTTGAATTATCGCAATATTCCCAATAAAACCTCACAAAAATATCCGAAAAGAATTGCGAATCAATCTGGCGCAAAATTCCCAATTCAATTCAGACAAAAATTGATTTTTCATAATATATATTTATTTATTATTTTTGTTGTGGTATATATCTAACAATAGTTCTTGAAGGCAATTGATAATCAAGTTTATAGCTGTACAGTTAGACAATATTCGCGTATTCTGTAGGCCATCATCGGTTGACGAGCTGATGTCCTAGTTGGAATCCGAGTTGGAGTGAGTTTCATGAAATACGCACGTTACTTAATTATGCAATCTAAATGCATTGAAACACCTCAACCAAATGACAATAATCATAATGACAGCAGCCACCGGGCAAGAGGTAAAGGGTGGGGGATGGGGTTTGGTATTGGGGTTGGGGCTGGGGCTGGCACTGGGGCTGGCACTGGGGCTGGGATTGGAGCTGTCATCAGTGGGTACAGCGATTGCCAAAGCTTTCACAATGCGACACCAAAAATGTTAACTCATTTGTTGTCCTTTTGCTGAGTTTCGGGCAGGCAGGCAGGCAGGCAGGCAGGCAGAAGGCAGAAAGTCAGCCAACCCGCACAACAGTCTCAAGTCTATGGGGCAGGTGTTATTCTCATTCCAGTTGTTGTTCTTGTTGTTGTTGCTGTTGCTTTTGCTGGTGCTGCCAGGTCCGCATGCTCAACAGACGACAAATCTTTGCAATTTATTTACGTGCCATTTCGTAGCAAAATTTTCGTTAGATTTCTTTGGCTTGGCGGAATTCCAAGACAGCTCCCCAGCCAGCGAAGTTGTCGACGTTGTCGTTGTCGTTGTCGTTGTTGCCGTTGCCATTGCCATTGCCATTGCTGTTGCTGTTGCTGTTGTTGTCGTTTTTGGTGGCGGCTCACAAAAGTCATGACGCGCTGATGACGTTGCCAGTGGAAGGATTTAATGGCACATTAAGAATTTTATTACCGCACACAACCGCACAACAACAGCAAGATGCTATGTTTTTAAAAGGTAGGGTAGGTGGCCTTAATAGTCAGTCGCCTGGCATCACGCATCATCATCCCGCAGAAAGCCATTGCACACCTTGGCAGAACAATTTTTAGCGCGCGTACACAGAAAATTTTGACAGGACCATCGCTTGAGCGCCATGAAAATCTTTCGGAGTCAACAAATTTTTTGCGCTTGCACGGATTTCACGAATCTTTGTGGGGGGGTGGATGGGGGGAGGGGCATGCCCGAGTTGTTGTCATTATTACAAGTTTTGCATAAATGAATGAATGAATAACATTTATATATTCCATTTAGCCAACACAGCAGCATTGAGTCGAAAGCCAAACCCAAACCTAAATCCAAATTCAGCATGACAGACAGATAGACTGACAGTCAGTCGGTAGTCATTTGTCGCCTGAAATGATGCACGAGTTTTTCAAATCATCTTGGCCATTGTTTGAAAGAATAAACTTCTACTTCTTCTAACGAAAGCGACAAGTTTCGGACCATTAATTCGTTAGATCTGCCCAGGGACGGTCTTAACCTTGAGTTTTGCCAGGCCAGCTTTTGATGTTCTTATGTGTCAGCAAGTTGCAATCCAACAATTCAACCACATTTTGAGCTTTGACTTTTTCGGTTAATTGAATTAATTTTCAAAAGATGCGCACTTCTAGCTTTTGACTGCAGAGCGAATCATTTCGCGAAACGAATTATCAAAATTTCTCATTAACTTTTATACATATTTTGATTTATTTTTATTTGTAAAATCAACATTTTATTTTGTTGGATTTTCCCAAGTATAAACTGCTTATAATTTCCTTATGTAGTAAACAAATTAAAGTAATTAATTTTAATTTTTATTTCTGTAATTATTATAATTATTTTTTTTGTAATTATTTTACCACCTTTTTGTTTATTCCCGGCATAATCGAGTGGTATTCTTGCTTTGCCAATTATAGGCGTATAAGCACCTGACACTCCCATTCGGTCCCTTAATCCTTAGTTTTAGGAAAAGGAGCAGGAGGAGGAGGCAATAAACGTCCCTCTCCACACCCCTTGCCAACCAGCACGATACAGAAGAAACGCCCAAAATATTTAAGGCAATAGACTTTTTTATTTATATGCAATTTACTTTTTATTTTGTTTTTGTTTTTCTTTCTTTTTTTGTTTGTGTTCTTATTTGTGCAACCCTTTGAACACGTACCGTTACCTTTCCACATTAACCTAAGCAATCCCAGCCAGGTCCGTAGCACCAAATTTTTGTTCCACTTCTAGCTAACCCATCGCGTGCTACTTAATTTGAAAGCATTTAAAAATGCTAAAACATGAGAATTGTTGCGAAAACGGAAAAAAGAAAACAAAAAACAAAAAACAAAAATAAGGAAAGAATTTAGCACGTCGAAGATTGCATACCCTTGTAGACCGGAATTAATATGGTGGCATCTAAATTTTAATCCAAAATATCCAAAAATATTAATAATAATAATAAAAAAATGTATTCATATATCAAAGCCTATCTCGATTCCACAAATTAAAACTTATCCTTCATCCAAGTGTTTCTATGACAGTTCCATGAATGGTGCTGTGCGCAGATCGGTGCCCTTAGCAAAAAATTCGATTTATGCCAAGTTTCAACATGAAAGCATAAAAAATTACCATACAAAATAAGGGAAGACGGCCAGAGGGAAATGGTTTTATCAAGAATGTGTTTACCTTATAATGTCAAAGACATTCCCTTCAATGGGTACATAAATAATGAACAGCTATGTCTGCAGGCCATATAATGGTCCAATGCAAAATATTGGGATCATATTAACACTTATAATTATTTAGCAGAATATCTTGAGAGTAGACAGTGTTGGCATACTTACAAAATTATTATATGTTGTAATTTGCACAAGATATTTAAATTTTATTCATATTAAAGGGGAGTCGGCTACTGATGCCCAGTGATGTCAGAGATATCGCCCACTTACGACCAATGTAAGGGCATCCAACTGGTCTGAAAAGAGACGCACTGAAAATGTGAAGCAAATGTTGTTACTTCATGAAGTCTGCGAATGTCGTCCACTGCTTCAACCAACGTAATCCCCTCCCACACACCAAAATTCCTGGCCACACAGTTAAGACTTATAAGGAGAGAGGACAACGCGAATGGTGATAAATAGTGAAAATAGGCATTGCATTCAAAAAAAAAACAGAGCTATCCAAGGCATACCAAAGATGCAATACCCTAGCAGACCGAAGCATTATCCAATCCCGTAGCTATATGCTTTAGTAGACTAATACTGACTATTTTCTGTTAAGAATTAGTAATACTGTTAATCAGTTTGGTCTCGATATCTGATTAAATAAAAATGGTGATCATCGATTTACTGATTCGATGGCAGCTATTTGCAGGAGTGGTCCGATCCAGCCGACTCATGGATATGCTGCATATTGCAAAGAGTTGAAAGAAAAGTGCGCATAAAACATATACCAACCATCTACCCACATCTGCCTCAGATTCAACCCCCCAACCACCATCCCGCCTCCATTTACCCCCACTAACCATCCAGTCAACTTCGCAACGCGAGTTTTTCGCGTTACGCGAAAAAAGAGATAATTTTATTTCATTAATCCTCTTTTGGGACAAATTCGCCGGCGTTTTTTAGACTTCTCCATTTTTTTTTTTTTTTTTGGGCCGGCTTTGGGCGTGGCTCGAACATAATATTAGCTTAAAATTGTGTAAATAAAAATTACATTCGTAAGAAGGTCTGCCCAGCCGGGCAATCCGAGCAGCATCTGCTATCCCCCATTCCTTCACAAACCATACCAGAGCAGAAACAAGTCTTACCATATGAATCAGTTCCTGATCCACTCAAACCAGCTCCAGCTGTT